AGGGAACTCACAGGGACCACTAATACAGTTCGTTTTAACCGGAGTTCGTTATGGACATGTCCACTAAAGTATACAGTAAGCGACCGTAACCCAAAATACAGTACGTTGTATTGATGAGTTCGTTTTAAACGTAGTTTTCAGTAATAGAAGGACCTTTTTCCAAATTCTAACTTAGCAACGATGAACTCAGCTATGGTAACTACTTATATCAATGAATTAGTTGCCAGTTCGTTATAACCGTTTTACTCTGTATGTAAATACATACATATACACAGTAAAAACGGTTATAACGAACTGGCAACTAATTGGTGGTGGCGCGTGGTCCTGTGCTCAAAGCTCAGGTCACAAATCGGTGAAGTTAAGCAGCGTCGAGCTCGGAGAGTCCTTGGATGGGTGACCGTGTTTGGCAGCTTGACTCCTGAGAGTGTCTAGGACTTGAGTCCTGCCCCACAACGAAGCACATGTGACACATGTGGTCTCACCTTAGGCAAGTGAGTTTGTTCAAAATTGTCTCTGTTCACCCAGCAGGAAAATGGGTACCCGGTGGAAAAACGTCATATGACTATAACCTTCTAGCGCCTAACAGGCAGCTTGGGTTATCCGGGGTAATAATGTGCTGTGCCTTGATTGTTAGCGCTATGCGCATACCTAGTGTGGAGTTTGGCGCTATATAAATGGACACATTATTATTATTATTATTATTATTATTATTATTATTATTATTATTATTATTATTATTATTATTATTATTATTATTATTATTATTATTAATTCCAGTTCGTTAGAACTTTAGTTCTTTAAAAAATATTCAACTAAATATACGGCAAACAACCGGGACTAGAACAACAGTTCGGTATATCAGCCAGTTCGTTATAAACGTATTTTATATTACATGTGTATTACATCAAACAAATATTCTTGAGAGGAATTCCGTTATTCAAAATTCCTTAAAAAGGAACATATGGATCGTGTAACCATGAATGTTAAAGTAACGGCAGTAAATATGTCGTTCATATTGATTGGGGCGGTGGGATAGCCTAGTGGTTAAAGCGTTGGCTCGTCACGCCGAAGACCCGGGTTCGAATCCCCACATGGGTACAATGTGTGAAGCCCATTTCTGGTGTCCCCCGCCGTGATGTTGCTGGAATATTGCTAAAAGCGGCGTAAATCCAAACTCAGTCAGTCAGTCAGTCATATTGCCTTAGTCTCATTCACACACACGTTCATTTGCCCAAACACAACGCTCAACATGTAAATCCACGCACACACGCAAGCACGAATTCACACATCTCTGTTCTAATCAGCCTCATTACCCGGACCAACATTTGGCATTGAAGAAATAATTGGTAACAAGTTAAAATGCTAAAAAAGCAAATTATTATCACCATTTTCACAAATGATTGCATGCATAGCGATGTTGAGATGTCAAAAACTATCATTCTTCTGAGGTATAATTCCTTCCTGAATTGAGGTTTGGTTCACATTTTCAAACAGCTTTGTCAAAAGTTTTGCCACAGGAATTATCTTCGAAATTTCAATTTTGGTTTATTGTCTCCTTGGAACTCTTGACTACCGGTTTGCAGTTCCTATTAAACACTTTTATTCCTGGAAGTCATTTTCTGATGGAAGTTCTTTTATTGTCCAGTATACAGTCCTTGCAAGGAATGTTCCTACATGTCTGTCTGACACTGTATGCGTTGCTGTTTTTGTAACTATTATGTCCAAATGAGTGTACGAAACCCGCTCATCAACAATCACATGAGAATTATTTGACGCAAAACTGATGATAACGGCAGCCAAACAGAGCCTATGCACGCATTTAGATTATTTATTGCGTGTGTTTCATGTATGCAATCCAGTGGAAACATTTGTTGCTTTTTACAAGATTGAAAGTACGAACTATTGTCAATGGTGAAGCCAATAATCCTGGATGCATCCTCCGGGCTTATTGCAGCACCGAGCAACATAAAATCACAGTTTGGAATTTTTATTAACATTCATTTTTTAAACGCTTTTTCACTTCTCAAATGTTTATCTGAGATATTTGACAAAAATGTGATATTTTATTGCTACTGAAAAAAACTTCTTTAAAGAAGTGATTTCCAAATTGAGACGCAGATGTTGCACAGTAATATAAAAATTGTAAAATCACCAAAGAGCTAAAGTTGTCAAAATCTATGGCTGACCACTTCTTTATAATAGTGAAATAACAGGATTGTATATATATTGTAGATAGATTAGATAGATACATAGATAGATAGATAGAAAGATAGATAGATAAATAGATAGATTAGATAGATAGATAGATTAGATAGATACATAGACAGATTAGATAGATAGATAGATAGCATTCACGTTTTATATTTACAATATGGTGTCCTAAACACACTTGGCAAGAGTTCTGATGACAAAAGGTGACATTGCTTGATATAAGTGAGTGAGTGAGTATGGTTTTACGCTGCTTTTAGCAATATTCCAGCAATATCACGGCGGGGGACACCAGAAATGGGTTTCACACATATTACCCATGTGGGGAATCGAACCCGGGTCTTTGGGGTGACGAGCAAACGCCTTAACCACTAGGCTACACCACCGCCCCTGCTTGATATAAAGTGGAAATAGCATCATAATAGTTGATCATTCGTCTGATCAAAATTATATTATAAACAAAATCATTGCCAAAATACCTCAAATAGAACACACAACGACACGACATAGAAGAGGTCAATATCGGGTATGACCACCCTTTGCGTTGACACGGGCAAGACATCAGCACACAAACAAGACACCAGATGATTGATACAGTCTTGGAGATGGTTAGCGTTAGATGTCCCGGCTGCTTCTAGTCCTGTCGTAGGCATCGCTTCATCACAACCCATACATCCTCTGTTGGGGAGAGGTCTGGAGAAACACCCTTCCAAGGCATTGCAGCAAGGTTATGCTGACTCAAAACATCTGTTGCATCACACACATCATGTGAGTGGGCATTACTCGGTTGCAACGTGAAGTCGCGTCCCTGCATTTTTGAAAGGGTAGTTTTTTAAATGGTGTCAAAATGGCATTAACAATCATGGTTGTGTTTCCAATGAATTGTCATGCCATCCCATACATTTACATTTCCAATCCCCAAAATTGTGGCAGTTTTGTATCGCTTCAGTAGATGAAACAACCGTATATGGTTTTCATGCTGACGTGACATGGCGTTTTTGGCTCTTTTTACATTAAAAAACCTCAAAGTTTGAATATCATGCCCCAAACAAGCATGCAAACATTCAAATTGCTTATCATGTAAGTTGAAATTGTGAAGCAAGATATCTTTCGAAAGATGCAATATTGGATTTTAAAATATACGTATTTTTACACTTTATATAGGCACACTTGCAGTATTGATAAGACAAAAGTCCGGTCAAAAAAAAGACATAGTTTTCCTGTCGTTCTTATATGGGTAGAGCCAGCCTCTTAGAAAACTGTACCATCCCGAAATTTCTCAAGCTGTTTATGTTCTAAAACGAAATCCAAGAGCAGCAACTCTTCATTCACTTGACCCCCTGCTGTTGACAGCTCTGAATATTTTACTCGCACTTCGATCATCTGCTGCCAGTGAGATCCCATTTCGACTGCCACATTTCACAGGGATTTTCACTAGACATGATGATTAAATTCACACTTTCCCAAGTCCACTTGTGTATCCGATGAGTTCTGTTTTTCTTTCGTTTCAACTGTACTTTCATTTCCCCAAATTGACTTGCCAGACTTTTAGAATTTTGAAAAAAAAGGTTTGATTCGGATAGTTTATATGCTTTAACGATTTCAAGTTGAAACCCTTCCGGTCGCGGTTTTCTGGCCCAAACATATTTACTTAAACAATGTTGATCGATTAGTCAGATTATTTACATTTATTCCTTATACATTAAGACCTGATTTCGACCTAATTTTCACTCTATACTTTCCCTTAATATAATAAGGATTATCATCACCTTTGTACAAGGAAGTTTTGTCAAGGGAAGCACGTGTAGGTCAGCTATCCTAAACTGCCATAATTCACCATACTTAGTTGCAACGCGTTGGCCATGGGTTTGAGGTTCGAATTTGCAACATATATAACATATAATTTATATGTAATCGAAACTCGAGTCTCATATTTGGAAGAAGGTAACCTGGGGCCTTCCATGAACAGAAACATTCTTGGTAAACTGAAATCTTGTTTAAAATAGCGTAAAACCTACTCAGTGGCTTGTTTCCAATTCAGAATTTACCGTTGGTTGCAATGTTTGGAAAATGCGCATTTTGAAAATGAATGGTTAAGAAACAATATGATTATCGGTACTTTCTCATTTCATTACGCCCTTCAAAACGATCGATAATGTTGCGTGTCATGGATGTTAGCTAATTTAACTTGCCATTTGTGCATTGCCATCGGGCCATCGATAAATGCATCAAAAATTCCACCAATCAGTTCTGTCCCAAATTATTAGGACGAAATTCTTGCAGTTCACGGGAAACCAATTTTAGATTCAGGTACGTTTTTGTACTAAACTAAACTTTCACGATTTTTACTACATCTTTCACTGAATAACAACACTATATATTTCTTTCTGGTAATAAGACTTTGTAATTCTGCTAACTCTCCGATTAGGAAACGGTACGAGTCTTAATCTATCAAACCAATTCGCCTAATAACTCTGTAGTTTCTCTGATCCCATGAGAGAATTATCACAGTGGTTTTAATCCGGACCTGTTCAGACTGCGTGTTAAACGTTGAGTAGACTCTGATTCAGAGCGCCATATCTGTGGTTCGTTTGTCAACACAAGATCATTCCTGATTCAAATGAAAATGAGTGTAACAGATTTTCTTTGTAGAGACCACTAGGATTGAAGTCTTCTGAATTTTTTTGGTATTATATTGTGGTTCTTACGCATTTTTGTTTTAACCGGTTGTATGAATAAATATGAATAAATAGCTACCAGCCGTTCTGACAATAAATTCTTTCTCTCTGCAGCAGTGTCCGTCGGTGCCAGCTGTTTCACCCTTGTCGCCATCTCATTGGAAAGGTACTACGCCATATGTCAGCCCCTCCACTCCAGATCCTGGCAGACACTGTCCCACTCCTACAGGTCTCTAGCAGTGTGTTGGATCCTGGCGGGCCTGGCAATGACCCCTGTAGCCATCTTCCAGCGCCATGTGAGTCTAGCAAGGGGAAAACACGCGTGTAGGGAGGTGTGGCCGCACGTGGACTTCGAAAAAGCGTACACAGTAGTCCTGGATCTAGGCTTGCTCATTATTCCCGTCATCGTCATGAGCGTGGCGTACGGCAGGGTCATTACGACGCTGGCTACTGATGTACGTACATCAGACTGCTGCAATTTCCAACTGCAAGAAAAAAGTGGTATGTTGGTCATGTTCCTTGTTCAGTTTTTGTCTCTACAAGAAAAATTGGTATGATTTTTCTATATTTTGTTATGTTAAATGTTCAGTTCAATTCCCTGAAAGACAGAAAGTTGTCGGGGTTCTCTTTTGTCATTATACTTGTTAAGACTCTTCTCTGCAAGAATGAAGTAGTACGTTATTTTAAGTTCCTTGTTCAATTTATTTTCAGTTCTCAAAAACGGTAACATTAGATTCTGTACCAGTTTAACGTGTGTCTTTAGCACCTGTGTTATAAGAATTGATTCTGTAGCACGCTCAGTACAAGTTTAACAGGATAGTTGATTCTCTTGCACGATAAGTAAGAGTATAATGTGGTGCCTTTATCTCAGATATAACAATAGATTCAATTCTAGATCTGTTGCACGCTATGTAAGAGTTGCTGGGACAGAATCTAAAATGAAACGTAACTCAGTGTACTGTATTTGTAGCGCCAACAAAACCTAATTCAACTGAATCCCGAGTTGACTGAAAATAAGTGACAGCATGTCTATTAATGATTCCATATTATAAGGAGGCTCTGGTAATGGCGTTATCACTACTTTCAGCATCAGGGATTTCACAAGTGCCATTAATCATGTTTCTGTGTGATCTGTTATTTTCAAACTGATGATCTGACATCCCCGGTTTGGTAAATGGATTTGACGTGAACGTGATTCTCATACAGAAGTAAAATTCCCGGATTCTTCTTGTTTGAAAGCTAGCAAACCAATGTGATTCAATTTCTATTACGAAACACTGGCATATTATTATTAAAACTGATGTAAAAATATATTAGTATCAAAGATAAACAATTTAGCTAGAGGGAGAAGAGTTAGCCTTTCACGTGTATCTGCATATTGAATTGAAATACAAGAATTTGATAGCTGTATTGCTAAACGATAATAAGTATTTCAAGTCAAAATGAAAAATTCAATTCATAATTATAGTAATGGCAAACATGTTACTGTTACTCTAAGTAAGAGTATAATGTGGTGCCTTTATCTCAGATATAACAAGAGATTCAATTCTGTTGCACGCTAAGTAAGAGTATAATGGGGTGCCTTTATCTCTGATATAACAGGAGTTTCAATTCTGTTGCACGCTAAGTAAGAGTATAATGTGGTGCCTTTATCTCTGATATAACAAGAGATTCAATTCTGTTGCACGCTAAGTAAGAGTATAATGTGGTGCCTTTATCTCAGATATAACAAGAGATTCAATTCTGTTGCACGCTAAGTAAGAGTATAATGTGGGGCCTTTATCTCTGATATAACAAGAGATTCAATTCTGTTGCACGCTAATTAAGAGTATAATGTGGTGCCTTTATCTCTGATATAACAGGAGATTCAATTCTGTTGCACGCTAAGTAAGAGTATAATGTGGTGCCTTTATCTCTGATATAACAAGAGATTCAATTCTGTTGCACGCTAAGTAAGAGTATAATGTGGTGCCTTTATCTCTGATATAACAGGAGATTCAATTCTGTTGCACGCTAAGTAAGAGTATAATGTGGTGCCTTTTCTCAGATATAACAAGAGTCAGATTCTGTTGCACGCTAAGTAAGAGTATAATGTGGTGCCTTTATCTCAGATATAACAGGAGATTCAATTCTGTTGCACGCTAAGTAAGAGTATAATGTGGTGCCTTTATCTCAGATATAACAGGAGAGTTGATTTTGTTGCACGCTAAGTAAGAGTATAATGTGGGGCCTTTATCTCAGATATAACAGGAGAGTTGATTTTGTTGCACGCTAAGTAAGAGTATAATGTGGAGCCTTTATCTCAGATATAACAGGAGAGTTGATTTTGTTGCACGCTAAGTAAAAAGAGTATAATGGAGAGTGTTAGTAAGAGTATAATGTGGTGCCTTTATCTCTGATATAACAGGAGATTCAATTCTGTTGCACGCTAAGTAAGAGTATAAGGTGGTGCCTTTATCTCAGATATAACAGGAGAGTCAATTCTGTTGCACGCTATGTAAGAGTATAATGTGGTGCCTTTATCTCAGATATAACAGCAGAGTTTATTCTGTTGCACGCTAAGTAAGAGTATAATGTGGGGCTTTTATCTCAGATATAACAGAAGAGTTGATTTTGTTGCACGCTAAGTAAGAGTATAATGTGACGCCTTTATCTCAGATATAACAGGAGAGTTGATTTTGTTGCACGCTAAGTAAGAGTATAATGTGGAGCCTTTATCTCAGATATAACAGGGGAGTTGATTTTGCTGCACGCTAAGTAAAAAGAGTATAATGTGGCGCCTTTATCTCAGATATAACAGGAGAGTTGATTTTGTTGCAGGCTAAGTAAGAGTATAATGTGGCGCCTTTATCTCAGATATAACAGGGGAGTTCATTTTGTTGCACGCTAAGTAAGAGTATAATGTTGTGCCTTTATATCAGTTTCTCCATCTCATTGAAGATCCAAACGAAAGTCGAAGAATAAATGTCAAATTATCATTTATTACTTATAACTGGTTCTGTTGCAGATTCGAATCCGCGGTTCGTCCTCCCTAACTACAGAACTCTTGAACTGCGCTTGATGAACAGGGAGTCTGTGAGAAGCGTGTCCTCCCAGTCCTCCACAGAGGACGGAGGAAGCATTACGCCTCCGTTACACAAACGGAACAAGAGGATACATAGAATCAGGCACTCCAATCCCCAGAAAATACGTGAAAATAAAATCCGAGTGATTAAGATGTTGTTCATGGTCGTGTTGGAGTTCTTCATCTGCTGGACTCCTGTGTACGTCGTGAATACATGGATGATGTTTGATTTCAGCAGTGCCAAAGAACATCTCACGCCCTTGACAAAGACCCTGATCCATCTGCTGTCCTATGTGTCTTCGTGCTGTAACCCTATAACTTACTGTTTCATGAACAAGAAATTCAGAGAAGCGTTCGTGAGGGCCTTCAGATGCATGAAGTCCCCACAACCTCTGAAGGATCGGAGGCGTATGATGATTATGCAAACAGGATCCAGGCGAAGTGATATGTTTCAGCCTATGTCTTCAACCTCAACTAGAGCCAGTTCTATACGTCAGACCGATTATGACCATATTCAGGGATCAGATGACCTCACGGAGTTGGACTGACTATCTAGGGGAAGGTCGCGAATGCGATCACTACAGAACAGTATTACAAAACCTACATCAGTGATACATAAGCTCATCCTACGCAGGCCTGACACACAAATATAGTGATCTGTTTTTGGTATTTATTTATTTATTTATTTATTTATTGGTTTAGAGGCTTAAGGTAATATACAAAGACAATAACAATAATGACATAAATCACTCAACGTTATTACTTTCGGATTTACAGAAGGAAAGTTCTTGGTAAAGAGCATCAACGCTTAAAACCTTTTTTATAGACAGACTCCATACAACACAGAATCTACATAAACAGTAATCTTTGGATATTTTTGTTCTTATCACAATCGATATTAATTGTTAATTGATAATTAAGACTAAATATTTTTTTAAGAATATGATCCCTGGAATCATTCCAATTCAATGGCGGAATATGCCAACCTTTTCAAAGACAGAAACAAAGTGTGTGGCGAATATTATATGTATGTATTCGTTAGTTAAAAGCTCAGTGCGCGAGGCCATTGTACATGGTGATTATTGAATACGACTGTCCATATTATTTTTATGATATGGGAGTAAATTCGTCGTCTCCACTGTCATTAAAACTGCTAATGCTGCCAATGTCAAGAGAAGAAATCTTTAGAATGCACGGACAGAAACGGTACTTTGGACACTATACTTTCAAAGAATTATTAATGTTACATATTCGGAGGACCTCTAAACTAATAACTGGGAATATGGATAGTGTGTTGGGAAATGTTTCTGTTTCTGGACAATGTGTCTAAGCACAGCTGTTTAAGTTATATATTATCTGGTCCCTTCACGTACTTCACAAAAGAAAATGGACCTGTTTTGTGTCAAATCCAGTAAACTGAATAAAATCTAAAAAAAGCTTCATAGGCTTGGAAACATATTTCAAAGATCTCTAATACATTGTTTCTCTCTTACCAATGCAAAGAGTGCGGACGAAATGTCTTTCTGTGAGATTGATTTATGTGTTCAATACCACAAATTGAAACACTGAGTTATATGTCAGTCAATTCCATCGAGTTTAACACTGTGGGACGTCAACAAACCTTGCGTCATTGCTGAATATGAAGAGGTAAATCTTCATTTGAAAAAAGGCCGTGACTGTGAACAGACACTGTGAATAACACGGATGAAATACAGAAATGTGTTCACAGGGATGTGTCCAGAATACTTTGGTGTACATATTTTACTTTCAATTGATGTGATGAAATCATAATGTGAAACTATGAATATCCCTGTTACTTGAGAATTCAATTTCACTGTGCAATTTCAAGCTGTCTTGAGCACCGATGAAACGATTTCTTTAAACATGGATAAAAAGTACCAGATAACTTTTTCATTTAAGTCTGCATACATGTTATTCGTCTCCAGCTACAGTCATTATTATTGAGTTATTATCCAGAAAAAATACATTCGAATGTTATGTGAGCCTTCTCATTCCGTGCGTGACATTACATTATTTGTCAAAACTCGTGAACTGAAGCCATTGTTGGTGATAATTGTGTTTCAGAATTGTTATTGCATGCAGCAACTCTGAAATGATCAAAATCACAAGGACTTCTGGATATGTGTTTATCTGGCGCTCTAATGCAGCACCAATCTTGCTCAGTATTCATCTTTGTCATTTCTGTATATTAAACTGTCACGTATCTGTAATATCCAAGTGTAAGCCCCACCTCAAGGCATTGTAGTTATTATGGGCTAAATGGAGATTACAATGTAGCATGTTTTAGCAATCCTTCTTGAAACTGAAATTGAAACCTCCAATGTTTGTACCAGGCTGTGATTCATTAAACTATACCCAATGTGCATCGTCCTTAATTATACAAATGAGATTGTTTGCTTTCTTCATTTCTCATTGATAGTTGGTGTTCAGAGATGACAAACCTTTATGGATGATCAACTTCTTTATTTGTGGATTAGGTGGCTGTAAGCTGATGGGATGTAATAGCCCTTGAAAACGGTATAAGAATCTATACCGAAACGTCGCCATTGTTAAAATAAAGAATTTGATCATCCATAAAGTTGTATCATCTCTGTAACCACCAACTTCTAGAATGCCACTCAAACTATTCAGTTGGTGTTCATTGCCGTGAAAGGTTTTAAGGCAAGACACAGTTCCTCGTCACTACTTCCTGGTTGGTAGACACTGCATCCCTGCATCCACCGCAAATATATGTACCCGTAAAGATCCGGGTTAGAATTGGTCTTCAGCAACTCATGCTTGTCTTAGGAGTCGACTCAAGGAATCGGGTTGCTAGGCTCGCTGACTTGGTTGACACATTTCATCGTAGCCCAGATCGATGCTCATGCTGTTGATCACTGGGTTGTCTGGTCCGGACTCGATTATTTAAAGACATATATCTGGAATATCGCTGCGTGCGGCGTTAAACAACAAATCGACGGATGAAAACAATGCAAATATATGTGAAGACGCTGCAGTGGAGCCAAAAACTTTAACTAAGTGAACGAATTAGAAAAGTTCATGTTTGGAGCAGGGCTCAGGATTTACTTCCTTGGGTTGTATGCTCTTTTCAGCGATGACCATGATCCTTTATACAATCAAGGAACGACATTGTCTATATTCACAACTTTCTGGGACAAGTGGAATTGTATCATGTGGATTCTTAAAGACTAAAAGAATTCTGAAGTTTCTTCTACAATTTGAGAAACCTCAGAAAAGGATCAAGCAATGTCAATCCGTCTGACTTTTCCACGATATGCATCACTTTCCTACACGAGAATATTCATTCCTTGATCCATGGGACACTGTCACTAAACATGATGGCTTGAAAGGTTCGGGATAATTTGTCAGAAATGAAAAGCTAAATGATATCTGAAGTTTCTTCATAAATAGTGACTTATAGTTTACGCCGCTTTTAACAATATTCCAGCAATATCACGGCGGAAGAACACCAGAAATGGGCTTCACATATTGTACCCATGTAGGGAATCGAACCCGGGTCTTCGGCGTGACGAGTGAACGTTTTAACCACTGGACTACCCTCTAGCCCCTCTTCATAAATAACATCAATGACATGACATTTAGGGAAAAGGTTAGCTATGTCGTGGGAACAAACGGTGTTCCTGTCCATTTTCTGATTGGTTTCTTCATGCACATGAGTCTGCGCTACTGCCTGGAAGAAGTTTAACTTTAATTTCACTCCTTGGGGGGAGGGGGGCGGTGGGTAGTCTAATGTTTAAAGCGTTCGCTAGTTGTAGCAGAAGCAGTTCTCTCGGTATAAAACAATGCTCACTAATTTGTCAATGTTGTAGAAACTACTCATGGGCCCAACACATGAAGGTCAAGGAGGACGTTTTCACTTCGGTAAAGACCACGGATTTTATGCTGACAAACCAATATAAACAAACCACGATCATAAGATTTTGTCACGCTTACGGGACGCAATTATACACAGCAAAATGTGGCGTCTTAGACAACAGGGACGCCCTTGACCACGACAACCGCATAGACGGACGAATAATCCTTGTACACAAAGAAATAAACAGCGATTTTCAGAATAATATTTCGGTCACATACCAGTCGTGTGTGTGATGTTAGATGATGGTTGAAGACAGACGAAGTCTCGCCGCTTAATGTTTATATCACAAATACCCCAGGGGATTTGACTTAGGGACTCAGTGTATTTAGTTACCCAGAATGTGTGCTCAAGCGATTTCTATTATCAGGAGTCAAATTAGTATAAATAAAAGGAATCTGTCGGGATCCACGTAAACATGTAACTCAGGTATTCTGGTTATATGCAGTGTGTTATATATTTGATGGTATAAGCATGAGATGAATATCAAATTAGTATAAATAAAAAAGGATTCTGTCGGGGACCACGTTAACATGTTGCTCAGGTACGCAGGTTATAGAGTGTGGTATATATTTGATGGTACAAGTATGAGATATGAATGAATAGCGAATGCCAGATCATGTTTTGTAACATTCCAATCACATACTATGATGTAGTTCAGTTCATGTCATTTATGATCACTTGCAATAAAGCTCATTATCTCGACGTCCTGGGGAACAGTCGACAATTCTGCAGTAATCAAAAAGTTACACCGTTTTAATTGACATTTTGTTTGAGTTAACGAATCCTAAGGGCCTATTCGATTATGCTAAACCGGTTTTGGTTTCTGGAAAACCATGCACTCGATTATGTCGAAACCTGAAACTGGGTTTTGAAACTTCGAAACCATCTCCGAGGCAGGTTTCGCAGTTTCGGTTTCGCGTTCTCTCACAACAAACATGGCGGGAACGAAGTTCAGCTGATCTTGGTGGCAAAATAGAGCATCAGTTTCTGTGACCAAAATAATGATAAAAATCAACTGAGAACTAGGAAAATATTATTTGAAACCCCAGTCTATTGGACATGACTATTTTATGTAACTTGTATACATATGATTACTTGTAACAGTATACTTACAAATACGCAAATATTTACCTCCAAAAGCATCTCACCTCTTTATTATTTGTTAATTCCCTGATAAAATGACAAACAATATTACGGTAATGCTGTCATCCAATTCATTCCAGATATATGGTAGCTGAGACGTTTGTTTTTATCCATTTTGAAACCCGATGGTGAAACCATCCACTCGTTTATAAAACTAGAAACTAGTTACACTTTGAAACCATGTATCCGAAACTGGACATTCGTTTATAACAGGAGAAACCAGTTTCAGAAACCAAAACCAGTTTAGCAATAATCGAACAGGCCCTAAGTGCAGCACAACCAGTTTACAAGAATATTTAAGCATGTGTTATGAAACATGTCCGATTTGAGCTTAACTGAACTAATCGTTAATGTGTAGCGTCCATAAAATTTCCGAGTCCCCTGCGGGATTCGAACCACGGACCTTCTGATCCGAACTCGGACGCCTTGTCCAATGACCAAAGAGGTTAACCCCGTCAGCAAGCTGACAAGGTAAGGATGTCATCTGTGGGATGACTCCACGCACTGCTACAGCTTACAAATGATTAATTCGGTGTGCCGAGTTGCGTCCCTTAGATGTGGCGGAAACATTTCCTGTGTTCATCGCCCATTCTT